CTACAATTTACATAGGACCGCTTTTTTAATAGTTGCACGTTTTGCTTCAACATGGGCAAAACATGGGCCACTAGTTTAAAGTACACGAGTTGTACACGATACTGATGTATTTTTTAGAAAATGATCCATTTTAATTTTTGAGATATATGACTGTGAATATAGCTGATTATCGTTTAAAAAAGCAAGTTTTTGCAACGATAAGACCAACAGGAATGACTCCAAATTTTCTGTGAGCGATCTTGACGTCTATGTGAGTAAAACAGTCAGTCTTAGTGCCATATAACAGAGCATCATGTATTTATACGTGCCTTAGCTCATTTTTTTATTATACTACTTTTACAAACTTTTAAACATGAATAACGCCCAAGTAACGGCGTTATTCCCGTTGGTCTTATCATTGCAAAAACTTGCTTTTTTAAACGATAATCAGCTATATTCACAGTCATATATCTCAAAAATTAAAATGGATCATTTTCTAAAAAATACATCAGTATCGTGTACAACTCGTGTACTTTAAACTAGTATAAAAAATGAAATTGAGTCTTCTCTAATTAATGTAATTGTAGTTCGCGAAGTTGATACAATACGAAATAAATTTACAGTGAGCATTCTCCTCCTTGAATATATGAAAGAAGAACATTTGATGAAAATATAAAATTTGTTCTTTTCTTATTTTCTTCTTTAAACAGAAAAATTTCTCTTATAGGAAAGTCTAAATAGTATCAGAGTAGAATAAACTGTATAAGAAAAGTACATGTGTTTCTAATAGGTTGATAAAAGAATAATCTTTTGACACATAGCGGTTAATTGTGTTTGAAGAAGTAATCAAATCAATTAGAAAAGAAGATGAAGTTCCTGTATACATTTATATAAAAATTATTATAAAATGAAATATTGTGTAACAGTGGAATACAGGAACAGTCGCGGAATAGACGAACAGCGACCGACCGAACGGGTGNCAATGAAAAGCAGAAAAGTAGTGCTCTATTTAAAGAAACTTTAAATAAAAAGTGTAGTCGAATACGTACAAAATGTGCAAAACCTAATGTATTTGAGGTATATTTCTTGTATAGTACAACTTTCTCAATCACAACTCAACTTTTATGCAGTACAAATATCATATTCGGAATCAGGATCGAAAACTGAGTCGACTGATCTGTATTTCTATCATATACGAGTACGTTAATTTTTATCGAATTTTCAGGTTGAAAAATACATCGAGATTTTTACCAAAAAATAAAATTGAACTAAAAGTTTCGAAATACAGATCAGTCGACTCAGTTTTCGATCCTGATTCCGAATATGATATTTGTACTGCATAAAAGTTGAGTTGTGATTGAGAAAGTTGGAAATTACTGGCAGAATTACGACTTTTTCTCCTCAGATTTAGAAAAAATAAATTTTCTCAGCAATGAAAAAGAATTTCAAAAAACTGGACGTATAACTTTGTTCAGTTTTTCACGGCGCGTCGAATGACGTCTTATTTCAAATTTTTAGACTTTCCCTTCGAGACTTGATTGGTTTGGGAGCAAAAGTTCCTGGTTTGGATTTTCGACTGTACCAAGAATCCAGTTTAAGGTTCGAAATACTCAAAAGCACATGCGTAGATGCAGTTTTTGACGCTGAATCCGAATACGAAAGCCGCAGACCTATGCGACCTAATGGTGCAAAGTTATCGAGTTTTTAGTGCAAAACTACCCGTTTTGGAAAACACGACACTACTAAAGTTTTTCGAGTTTTTGACGGGGAAAACTTTGTCTAAAAAGTCTCGCGACCACATATTCGTGATCAGCGTTGAAAACTGCATCGAATGAGGTATAAATGAGCCAAATCTAAAATCTGCTCCAATCCTGCCTTAGCGGCATCTTAACTGACTAATAGAATGGATTTATTAAAGTCATTATCCTCTCGTTGATCGTCTAACCTGCCTAAGTGCTTTTATGGTCATACATGTATTCCTTTGTACACTAGCATGTATATCCAGTTCCCTTAGGGAGCATTTCAAAATGTAGGACGGTCGCTCGGCCGCTCTGCCGGTCAGCCGGTCGCAGGTCGTCCTGCCGCTCGGTCGTTCACCCGTTCGGTCGGTCGCTCAGCCGCTCTGCCGTTCTGACGCATTTAAATTCTAATTTATTTTATTTTGTTTTATTTCGGTTTCTTTGATTGTATTGTGGATACATACATACATTGGCATATATATTTATATACTTCCAATTTATTCATTATTTTTAAAATAACGATGATTGTAGCATATAAGCAAGAAAATGCAACAAACGAAGAAGAGAACGTTTTTATTTACATTTACTACTATACAAGAAATATACCTCAAATACATTAGGTTTTGCACATTTTGTACGTATTCGACTACACTTTTTATTTAAAGTTTCTTTAAATAGAGCACTACTTTTCTGCTTTTCATTGAAATGATAAGGGAGCGTTTCAAAATATATTCCGATCGGTCGGTCGCTGTTCGTCTATTCCGCGACTGTTCCTGTATTCCACTGTTACACAATATTTCATTTTATAATAATTTTTATATAAATGTACATTGAGAGATTTACCATGGCTCTCATGTGTAAATAAACTTTCTTTGATGATATGCCTCCGCCAATCTGTTTCTAGGCTTAGGGTATCGATATTTTTGAAGTCGAAGGAATGATGTCGTTCGAGGATGTGTTGTACAATTCCTGATGTTTGAATAAATTTTCGAATGTCTGCTTGATGTTCCTTCATTCGCACTGTTTCCCTTCCTGTCTCCCCATAGTAGTGTTTGTCAAGTCTGAGGTGAATGATTCACCTTGATTACATTATGTTCCCGAAGAGAAAGCCGGGTAAAACATGGTGAAATCAGGATGTCAATTATCTTAAGAAACACTTTATTTTGAGAGGTCTTCTTGTATCAAAAGTTTTTCTATCATTTTCTTTATATAGAAATCGCTACATAAGAATTCATCGACCTAAGATAAATTGTTTATTGGATTTTTACGCTCCTGAGACAGGAAGTACTTCAATTATCTCTTTCTATACGCACATGTCTTTGAGAAATGTTTCTAATTGTATTAGTTGAACTTTGCTGGTGTGTGAGAACAAGGTTAAAGTTCGTCTAACTGAGGTATTGATTCAGACAATATATGTACGGAAAAAACTTCTACATTCTAGGGTTTCGGATGAATGAAAAACGAATATACTTGTTGACGAAATTGTAATAACAGAACAGAACAGAAAAACCCCAAGGGTTTTTTACCTGTTTCGCGAAACCTTTTAATTGTCAGAAAAACCCTATTTGTTTTGCTAAACCGTAGTTTAAAAAACCCTAAGGTTCAGCAAAACTTATAAACCCTGAACAAAACCTTTTAGCTTTTTAAGAACGACTAAAATACTCTGACGGGTTTAGTGACGTTTCCTAAACCTATTAGTAAACCCTTTGGATTTTGTACACGCCACCTTTTTTTTAGAGTGCATGGGATGTTCTTAAAGGACGTATGATAAAAATGACGTTTTTTATTTTATATTTCTAAACTCTATTCAAACGATGTATATTTTTCCTTCTGTTTACAAGCAGAAAATGAAAAAATGTTACTCGCATCGTGGGTCGTTGAAAAATAATACTCTATAGTGTATACTAGATTTTTCTTTATCTCTTTACTTGTCATTCCTGACAGTCTTTTGAAAAGAGATGAAAGCTCGAATCTTTTCTTGTCAGTGATTTCTTTTAGAAGTCAAGTGCGATCTTCATAGCAGTTGTATACGCAATTTTTAATCCTAGTTTTTCGTTTTTACAAATGAGTAAACAGCTCAGTTTGGCACAACTTTTTGTCATTTTATTATATTGCCACAAATACTAATCAGTGCATTTTGAATTTCAGCACTCACATACATAGCATTCTTCTACATAACAGGTGTAAAGATCCTTTAAAAGGATCATGCTACTTTTTGGAATCGATCTCTGTCGCACAGACATATATCGGAATCAGAACCGGTACAACACAAAAACAAAATGCAAGAAAGCTGGTATATCGAGTTACATCTGTAGCACACCCCCCTTAGCAAAATCCTGGCTACGGGCCTGTATCAGTTTTTATTCTTTTTTCTTCTGTAAAAGCTTTTTGAATTTTTTTTATGATTCTAACAAACGCTTGTGACAGACGTTGTACGTATTGGAAAATCAATGTTTGCCCCGATTTAGAAACATGATTTCTACTTATGGACGATTCCTTCTTCTTTCCTTTCAACCACTAAGGAAACATACAGACCGAAACATCTCTACCCTATGACGAATTCTTTACCCTTGGTGCTTCATGTTTTATATCCATTCACTCTCATCTTCCCTCCCCGACAAACACATTTTACGTTCATTTATGAAAAACAATTTTTATAGACCGCTCTGTTGCTGTTAAAATGCATTTTTAAAAGCTCAATAATAATTCTGCAGGTTTAGCAGGGTGAAAAATCCTGTGGGCCCGTACGATGCATGTACATTACATGATGATCCCGGAAAAATATTCTCCAGGATCTTGCAGGAAATAATCTTGAAAAGTAAGCGAGTTGAAAAGTCTTCTAGATTATACTCAACAACGTGCAGGAAAGCTTTAGGAAAGGTAGCGTACTGTAAAAAACTGCAGAATATGTCTAATATTCTTTCCATTGATAGTTACAAAAAAATGAATTTCCTAAGTGATCCACCCATCCCGACCCACCACTGATTCGATCTGTTTTGTTGTTCTTTTTGCTCATCAGATCTGCCTATCTCATCAGATCATATCTGTCATATCGTATCCCATCCCATCCTATTCAATCTTTTCACATCCTATTTAGTTACTTCAATTCTTAGATTTTCTCAATACATCTTTCATAGGAAAGTGTTCAACTGTCAACGATGATGACGTTGACGACAATAAACTATGAATTTGAATCCATATTAAATTTTTGTACTCGATGATTGCTGCAATCGGCGACATAGAGATTGCCATCTCGATCGAATGATAAACCAAAGGGAAGATTCAATTGATTCGACCGTCTTCCTTCGCCGTTTCCACCAGCAATGACACTTCCCTGTGTGGCTCCTTTTGGCCAACGCATGATTCGATGAGTATAACAATCAGCCACATAGACAGTGCCCAATTGATCAACAAAGACTCCATAGGATCTGCCAGTTGTGAAAGACTATTTCCTTCTCCTTTACCACCGGCTACGACAATGCCTCGTTTTGCACCTTCTTCCCATTTCATCACACGATAATTGGAATGATCAGACACGTAAACTGCATGATCTCGATCGACAAATATATAGCAAGGGTTAGAGAGTTGATCGAGACGATTTCCACTTCCATTTCCACCTGCAACCACTGTTCCTTCAGTGTCACCACTTCCATATCGTCTCACTTCATGTTTTCCATTGTCAGTGACATAGAGAGATCCATTCTCGTCCATTGTCAAACCCATACAAGAGATGTTGGATATGAGTGTTTCTCCACCAGTACCATTTCGACGAGGCCATCGAACTACTCTTTTATTCCCCAAATCGCAGATAATGAGACTATCTCTTTCTTTGTCAACAATCACATCATAGGGAGAATTCATACTGATGAGCTCCATTTCCAGTTCCATTTCCACCGGCAACCACTTGGCCACTTGTCGCACTACATTTCCATTCCACAATACGTTCATTAGCCTGATCAGCGACATAAATAGTTTGATCATCATCGACATACAAACCGAGTGGGTAATAGAGTTGATTGATTCCATCGCCTTGACCACTTCCTCCAGCCACAGTGAGACCATTCTGCATCCATTCAGTATTTGAATGAATGTCAGTCGAACTTGAACGTAGTGGTGCTGGAATAAAACAAAAATATCGAGTAGAAATAAAGATCGATTACATTGAAATGAGTCTCTCATTTTTGTTGGTCGTCCAACCTTTCGTCTCGCTTTTGACTCCCAAGTCGGTAAGGCTAGAAAAGAAACATTAATTTATCACGGGCACTCTTTCAGATACGATGATAACTACCCGCTCATGGCTTTTTGCACCGACTGAACAGTGGACGAGTCGACTTTGCTCGGTGTCAAAGCGCTCTAGAGACACATTATTGACATTAGTGGTCGACTAATGGACAATGAAACATCTTTACTCACTACTTGCACAGGCTCCAGTAGAGGAAAAGGTGGTTCAGTCTCCATCAATTGTATGATGTGCAGACCATTGCCCGAGTCAAGGCACGACATCACTTTGAATTGTCGCGCAGCCATAAGAAGAATTTCATCTTCTGTCTGATAGAATGAATGTTGGCGAATGTCTTTCCCACTGTAACAGTTAATATTAAACATTGTTCTCGTGCCTTTTTTGCCAAGAAACTGCTCTGATTGAAGCACCTTGATAGACGCAGTACACGATGCGAATCCCCACCAAACGAACGTCTTGCCTTCGGGATATACAGCGTGCAAGTCCATCTTCACTCCTCGATAGACGGTTAGTCTGGTGGAGGGAAGTTTCGCGAGAGAGGAAACAACGAGCCTCAAGTACAAAAACCAGGGTTTCAATAGTTGTTGATCTGCTGCTCGAAGAGTAGCGTTAAGAATGGCATAAAAAGAGTTCTCGCTTGGCTCCCACTCCAAAGAGTACAGCATGATGGAAGCAGACTGGTTACTCGTCAAATCATTTTGTGGGTCATCACAATTCTGTTTGACTATCCATACCATGTGCTTGACACGGGGCACGAGAGAAACGAGCGGCTCGACGGCTTCTTCGAGAGAGACTAGAGGCTTGTTCGCGTACCCCTGAATTGGTCCAAGCATTCGCCTGGGCTCTCCAGCAATGTCCGCAAAGCGCTGAGTGTGTTTCGGTTCATCTTCGGCCATTTTCCATATACGTTGACAGATCGTCCTCGATATTTACTAGCAAACTAAATGTTCATTGTAAAAAAGAATATAAACAATCGAAATGTTTTTCTTAACCTTCACAAAACAACACTCCACATTCTAGAATTCTATAAAGGATAATTAGACACATTGTTTGAATAAAGGTGGACTATTTCTTATCTGGTATTCTATATCGGAATGAATAATTTTACGTTGCGTAAAAGTAAGCATTACATCGAATGGGTTTCATGTTCCAACACGGTGTTTCTTATCTTATCAGTGTACTTTCTCCTATTCATCAAAGCATCTCGCTTCAACTGCTGTTTTCAGTTGTAAACTCTATTCTAATGTTTGAACTTCAAACATCTTCAAACAAACCCATCTCGTCCGCGCACGAGACGGGACGAAAAAAAATAAATAAGACGAGACGCAAGACCGGACTCAACAGAAAGATGAGGGGACGGAAAAGGTTTCAGATGAAATTTACGGTCCAAATCTTGTTAAAATATCTTACAAGAGCGTATAGTAACAAAAATATATTATAAAACAAGTAATGCTCACCATTCTGATTCGCTTCTCCCTTGACTGTGAAATTCTGTTTTATATGAGTGCACATGAAATCTTCGCGAAAGTATATGAGCAAAGGAAAAAAGCGTTCCCATAGCTCCTGTTGAAATTTATTCAATTCGCGAACGGATGTATTGTTTTATTTTAATGCTTCTGTATCTCTAATAAGATTTACTCTAATTCGTAATCTCTATATGTCTAAATCTACTATTACCCGAAAAACTGAATTCTTCACATCACGTTAAACCAGTACAATGAAACCAGCCATCGTACAAAATTTATCATCTGTTATTAATAAAGAAATTGTTAAAAATGATGTTCAAGATGCACGATCATCGAATTCGACAACAAACAGCCTCCTTAAGATCCAATGTTGACGAAAATGCAGTTGTTGATGTACTATGTAGGGCTGTAATGGAATCTATCGAAAAACGTTTATTATCAATCGAAGTATGCTTAGCTATCATCGAACAAAATCAAGTTGTCATCCAACAAAATGAGATGGTCATGAGAAATGATATGAATAAGCGTGAGCGTCATTCGAGACAATTTAATTTGCGCATTATCGGGATCCCTGAAAATGAAGAACCAACGAAGGTAACAGTAACATTAGCACAAACGGTAGGATTAAGCAATTTTCTAAAACAAGATATTGAAATTTCAAATAGATTAGGTGCTAAAAACAAAGGAGAAAATCGTGTTGTTATTGCTCGCTTCCATCCACGTGTCAAGCGTTGTGCACTGTTAGTAAAAAGAAAAGATATTAAACAAGCAACTAACATTGTCGTATATGAAGATTTAACAAGAATTGATAAACAAATACTTGATGAAATTCGACGACGTCTGGATGTAACTGATAAGAAATATGCGCTTACAAGGAATGGTCGAGTGATGTATAAGTACGAGGAAAACAAAGCGGCTTTCATTAATACATTTGAAGATATTGATTATTATGGTTTATAGTAAGCTGATTCTTTTTGCATATTTTTACTCTTTTTATCATTTATGTTTAGTATTTTATCTTTCTCTTATCAACTCTCTGGTGTTAAGTAGATCAGTTGTTTGACTATACCTTTGACATATATCCATATAGATATTACGAGTCGAGCACATGTGATGATATGATAACAAAAATCTATCCTTCTTTTTTTTCCCTTCTCTGATGCACATACAGCTGCAAAATGTGTATTTATCAAAATCTATCTATTTGATAATGGCTAGTAACGATCAACATAATCAGAGACGTAATGAAAACTTTTTACTGCTTAATACGAGGAGTATTATGAATGTGCTTGATGAGGTTAATAGCGGAGTACCTTACGCCACAAAAGTTACAAAATTTGATTTATTTACTAATTATATAACACAGTATAATCCAGCAGTAGCTGTAGTTGTAGAAAGCTGGCTTACTGAAAAGTGTTTTTGACACAGATTTATTAATTTCTGGATATCAACCACCCTTGAGAAAAGACAGAGTGGGAAAAACCGGCGGAGGTATCCTTCTATATGTACGAAATACCTTATCTTGCAAGCGTTTATATGAATTAGAAAATTCCCTATTCGAAACTTTGTTCTGCTCAGTGAAACTTTCACAAAATAAAACATTTATCTTAGCAACATGCTATCGTCCAGACTACAGATTGTAAGCAGTTTACTGACCACTTAGGTAACAGTTTATTAGTACTAAGAACAAAAGCAATTTAAAAGTTTAGTGATATTGTGTTCATGGGCGATTTTAATGCTCATTGTTATGAATGGTGTCAAACAAAACTATCAGCCACCGAAGGAAAACATTTTTTCGATTTTTCGGATGAGGCACAACTCTTCCAACTGGTAGATAGGCCAACAAGACTTGATTCGTGTCTTGATCTAATCTTTGTTGACAATACATCTAGTATACATTCAACAGCTATTTTGCCCAAACTTTGCTCGAAGTATGATCATGATGTAGTTCAGCTTAATTTGTCGTTAACGAGCACTCCTGGGAAGGAGCATACTAGACGTATTTACGGTTATCGAGTAACTAATTGGGATAGTTTTAGATCTGAACTTAGCAAAGTTGATTGGTTTGATCTAACAACTGATATGTGCCTAGATGATAAGGTTAACATTGTGCAAGATAGAATAATGCAGATAGCGAACACTATTATTCCAAACAAAAATATCAAATTAAAGTCAAACGATAAACCATGGTTTACAGATGAGTTGAGAGAGATGAGTATTAAAAAACATGAGTTATGCAAAATAAGCTGCAGACTTAAAAGTCAGACAACAGTGAAAGATTATCTGGAGGCTTCAAAAAAGGTTTGAGCGCGCTTGTCGCAAAGTAAAGAAAACGTACCTTAGAAAATTGTCATCGGAAATGAATTCATCATCTAAGAGGTGGTAGGGAATGGTCAAAGGTAGTGTCTACAAAAAGGCAGTTATGTCTATTTCTCCATTACTTGACAAAACAAAACATGAACTTATTTGTGACTCAGCTGAAAAGGCTGAACTTTTAAATAATCACTTCGCCGATGTCTGCACAATGCCCTTAACTGAAGTAAATTATTTGTGACTCACACTATAACCTATTTATTCAATGAATCATTGAGAGATGAACATTTTCCTAAAGCTTGGAAGTTAGGTTGTATTACTCCTACTTTTAAGTCGGGTGACTGTCATAATACGTCAAATTATCGTCCCATTACTCTTTTACCAATCCTTTCAAAAAGTCTAGAACGCATCATACACCGTAAATTGTATGGGTATTTTACTTGCTTTGAGCTCCTTAGCCGGAATCAGTCGGGTTTTCAACGAGATGATTCAACAGTAAATCAATTAGTAGCTATTATACATAAAATCTTATTAGCATTTGACGACAACCAAGAGGTTTTGGCTGTTTTTCTCGATTTTCGCAAGGCGTTTGATACTGTATGGCACAAATGTTTACTCATGCAACTAGAAGCAAAAGGAGTACCTTCCCCCTTACTAAACTGGTTTTCCAGTTATCTGTCAGACAGAAAGATTGTGACTATGGATGAAGGTGCTACATCAACACGTAAAAAGATTAATAAGGGCGTGCCGCAGGGCAGTGTTCTCGGTCCTCTTCTTTTTTTAATTTACATAGATGACATAATGGAGAATGTAAAATCTACTATTAAGCTTTTTGCGGATGATGCCTCACTTTACCACACTATAAAGAGTAAAGATATCTCAAAAACTGTTGATCAAGAGAATAGTGACTTAATTAGTATTTATCAATGGTCAATAGCCTGAAAGCTAGACCTAAATGCTGATAAGTGTAAAGTGATGCTCTTCTCAATTCGTCAGCATACTAATTTCTTGCTACCATCCATTCGTATTAATAATACTACTATTCCTTACGTTTCTGAGCATAAACAACTAGGACTTATCACCAAGTCCAACCTCGACTGGACGGCACATGTTAACTATGTTCTGCACAAGGTTAATCGTTTAATTGGTCTTTTAAAACTTCATACACGTGTGCTGTCTCGGAGAGCGTTGGATCTTGTTTATAAGTCAAATATTTTAAATCAATTCAGCTATGCGTCTTCTCTCTATGGGAATACAACGGATAGGAACTTAGTCCGCCTTGAATCAGCTCAATACGCAGCTGCTAGAGCTGTCTCCGGAGCTATGTTGTTTAGCTCAGCTGAGAGTGTTCTTCACCATCTAGGTTGGGAATCTCTGACAGCTGATTTTAAACGTCACAGACTGACTCTATTTTATAAAATTGTTACAAATAAGGCGCCCTCGAACCTGAAAAATTTATTGTTCGCAGCTCAAAATCATTTGTATGATAAGAAAAGAGTGCATAATCCCTTTTGTTCTTGTGGTAACGTAAGTTTTGAGTCCCTTTATCGTTACTTGTGTTCTTGCTCCTCTTTTATCCGATTTAGAACTGTTCTCTTCGCTGAACTAACAAACAGGGGGGGGGGGGGGGGGGGGGGGGGGGGGGGGGGGGGGGGGGGGGGGGGGGGGGGGGGGGGGGGGGGGGGGGGGGGGGGGGGGGGGGGGGGGGGGGGGGNGTCCTGGGGTACCGTACCGTGTGCCGCCCGTTATCCGAACATGGGTGCTTGGTCCCCTTTTTTCCGCCTTACCACTGCCCGCTTCCCCGCCCCACCCCCCAACCCCCCCCCCCCCCAAACCTTGTGCTTGATCTTAAAACACTTTTTTTACAATGTCCTATGACTTATGCAGTTGCAGTTGTTAAAGCAATTTGTCAGCACACATAGTCAGCACTAAAAGGTTCTCTTTTACGTCAATCTGATTTTATACGTTCTTTTCACTTTATAAAAGATAAACACACATCTTTGCAGCAATTTTCCTATTTTCCTATTCTCACATTTTCACATTACAACGCTCCCAATGATCATCATGTGCTTACTCTCTCTTGTTTCGTATTTATGTCAGTTATATTAAGGACGCATTTTATCGTAGTTTATTTTGTTCTGTGCTCTTCTTGTTTTTATTCTTCTCACACGTGTATTCTTTAAAAAAATTATTTTGTATTCTGCACCATTATGTTGATCATAAAACATGGATCACTAGATCAGCTAGTATGGCTTCAAAATATATTATCAAATGGCTTTCAAAATCAAAATAGTTTAGACCGAGGTATCGAACAACTCAACGTATTTTTCTTTTATAATTATCGAGTGAAACATGATTCATCGATAATATTAGTTCATGACAATCAATGGCTTAGTAACAAAAAATTATGTTATAAAACATGGAAGTGGCTATGTACACTCAGGTACACATAGCGAATCGACTATGTACATTAATCAGTTAATTAGTAAATATTAAGTTATATTATAGTCTTATATGTACTTAATTATTAATATGAATAAAATTTCTTAACTTTATTAATTCTTTATTACATTCAAATAAAGTATAAGTCAAGTATTACAATTACACAAGTAAAGAAGAAAAGCCTTAATTCAAATAAAGATCAATTAATTTAGAAACATTTCTAGCGCTTCCTCTCTTAGGCTTTGAAGGAAATGGTTGTATTTTACTATTTTCAATACATTTAACATAATGATCACGTAAAGATCTCTGATCATAAAACAGTAAAGATGAAACATCCCTATAACAAAGAGAAGTAGCAAAA